CCATTCAACAAAAATGTGCCCAGTGCTCTCTGTGTGCCAGGACTGAACAGTGACAAAAATAATAGGACTAGGATATTTGTTAAATGGATAAAATAATGCTACCCCGGGACTTATTCTTCATAAAGTCCATTTTAATGTAAAATTAGACACAGTTCCATTTTAACTAAATGCTAACCAGATTAAAGTAGCAACCACATTTATGAGGGGTGAGAATTTTGGTTTTGTCTTTGTGTTTTATAAGTTTATTACTCTGTAAAAAGAAAATTATAAAGTTTAAACATTAAGAACAATGAAAATGGAAGGGTGAGTCAGAATGCAGGTCTGGACAGTCAATATGGGAAGCCCCTCAAGTAAAGTCTAAGGTAATATTCTTTAACTTTCAGCCACATTTTACTTATGCCCATTTGTCAAAAACCTACACACCACTAAAGCTTAAATAACCATAATCTGCTCATATTATCCTGTAACATTGGCTCCTCATAATGGCCTTAATGCACTAAAGGATTGAGATAACTTCTGAATAATCAAAGAAAAAAACCTTATACTTACAGAGTTTTAAAAATTATATTGCGTTTTTTATTTTATGAAAATTTACAATGCATGTAAGATATGTGTGACTCTCCATTAACCTGAATATTAAATTAACATCACATTTCTTAATCCTTTTTCCAACACTTGCTTGTTCTCCCCATCTACCACCTAAAGCATATTCATGTGCACACACATGCCATACCCACATGGGGGTAACTTTTTTTGTTTTTCTTTTTATGGTTGAGATTAACTGTATTTAAAGGAAAAAATGGCAAAGGTTAATGAGACAATTTATAATATTTTAACAGACCAAAGGCTTTTTCTCTAACCTCCAAAGTTTTACCAGGCATTAGGAAGGAAATTTGCATTTGTTCTCCTCATTCACAGGATCACACTTAAATAATGAGCAACAGAAGAAGAGTTTTAAAGACTTCCAGAAGAAAGCATCCTATATTTATTTAAATATCTATCACTTTGTTCATAAAACATCAAGAGAATTCATTCAAACCTTTATCACTGAGACAGTGCTGTCATTAACAGCAAAATAGTTTCTTAGCCTGACCTTATAAGCCTTTAAGCCTGTGCCCCTCACTTGTTAATCCCTTGCAGTCTGACTTTCTCTTCTGAAACTGCTTTCTCAAAGATTGCTAATGATTTTCCGCATCACCAGATTCGAGAATATCTTCTCATCTGTCATTCTTCTAAATCTCCTACTCACAACTTCCACTCATAACTACTCCCTCCTTGAAATTCTCTCCTCCCTCAGAATCTATGACATCGAAGTCTCTCTTTCCTCTCAGTTTGTTTTACCTCTGGTTCGTCCTTGATCCTTCCTATTTCTTAAAGGTAACCATTCCCTTCGTTTTTCGGTTTGTCCAGGTATAGAGGGATGCGCAGATTTATTTGTTTAACCTCAACCTTCTTCTCTCTCAACAATCGATCCCCTGGCAATGACACTCAGGAATTCCCCAAATTCCACTGTCATCTATAAGTATTTCTTGAATTTGGGATCTTTATTCCAACTGCATATAACACAACATTTAAATATTCCACCAGGGCAACCCCCTCGGGTCCCCTCCTGCTCTGGGAGCTTTTCTATCCTCAATAAATCCTGCTTTCTAAAAAAAAAAAAAATATATATATATATATATATATATTCCACCACTATTTCACATTGAATATGTCTAAAATTACCTCATTAGTTTCCTTATGAAACCAGCTCCTTTCTATATAACCTTTTTTTTTATTTTTTAACCTCTGGATCATCATGTCTTTTGCCTCCCAGTTCTCCAAGCTGCAAACTTGAGAGTCAATTCTCACCCCTTGGCCTATTTTGCTTTCATAATCTAATAACTTGACAAGAAACATGGCTCCACTTACTAGTCAGATCCATCCCTTCGTTTCTGCTCATTTCTCCCTCTCCACTTCCATCAGTCCAGGCTTCACCTAAACACACACAACAGCCTGTTAACTGGTCCAACTGCTTGACTTTTTTCTGTCCCCAGGCTAGAGTGCAGTGGCACACTCACGGTCACCACAGCCTCCACCTGCTGGGCTCAGGCAATTCTTCTGCCTCAGTCTTTCAAATAGCTGGAACTACAGATGCGCGCCATCATGCCCAGCTAATTTTTTGATTTGTTGTAGAGACAAGGTCTCACCAAGTTGGCCAGGTTGATCTCAAACCCGTGGACTCAGGCAATCGTCTTGCCTTGGCCTCCCAAAGTGCTGGGATTAGAGGCGTGAGTCGCTGCACCCAGCTTGATTTCTTATTTCTTGCAATATCTAGCACAATGCCTCATATGGAGTAGGAGGAGCTCAGCATGTGTTTGTTAAATAAACAAAAGAACAAGCCTTAAAGTTTTCAGAGGGGAGAAAATTGTTAACATAAAGGCAAGAGAAAGAAAATCACTGAGTTTTCAAAAGTCTGGACATTAAATTGAGAAGGACGCTCTTAGAGATACTAACTTTAACATTTAAAAATGAAAATTCTATTAACTCTTTGAAAACTGTTTTGTGGCAGAGCAGAAACAAAATTTTGTAAAATGAACCTTTCAGTATTTTGGGAAGAAACATGCCAGATTCTTAATCTTTTAAAAACTAATTAAAATTCTGAAGGCATCTCACTGTTTAGAATGTTCACAATAATGATTATTCCCAACTTTTGAGCAAGAAATTTTAAGATCTGGTGGTAATTCTTTAGATCTTGTATATTCTGTCAACACTCTGCTCCTCAAGTAGGTGAGTACAATGCCCTAGAAACTTTCAGTTACTTAGATATCACTGTGAAAGCGTCACTTTTTTTTTACAGCAACTAACATGTGAGAACCATTATCAAAATGTAAATATATAAGCTCCCTTTCCATTGGTCACTTATTCCAGGATAGCAATTTTTCTGGAAAAATCTATTAGAAAATGTTTCTATGCACAGTCTTTTTTTTTTTTTTTTTTTTTGGTTTAGTTTTAAACCTTTTAATTGTGAAATATAAATACATATACAGAAAAGAAACCAAACAAAAATGCTAAGTTCAATGATTTATTACAAAGTGAACACCCTTATAATCATGAAGTAGAAAAAAATAGAAAATTTCCAGAACTCTAAGCCCCCTACGCCAGTCACTATTCCTTAACTTCCTGCTCCTCCAAATTTCCATTACCATAATTTTTATAATAACCACAGTCATGCTTGTCTTTATAGATACACCACATAAGTATGTATCCATTAATACTATATTTTAGTATGCACAGTCTTTAATGGGAGACTTCCTACCAAGAAAGCTAACAGAAAACTTACAAAATGCTCTTAAGAGTTGAGAACCCCAAAGATATATGCTTTAAGCTTTAAGTAGAAAAGATGGCATTTTAAGCGATTGATTAAAAATAGTTTCTTGGGCAACCCTGTCAGGTTCCCTCCCACTGTGGGATCTTTTCTGTCTTCTCAATGAATCCTGCTATTAATTTTTTTTAAAAGTTTCTTAAACAGTTTTATTTTAGTCTATCACTCTTTGCATTTACCAAGAGTTATTTTCTGACACATATTTTCACATAAACAATGCATAAAACAGAAACACTGTGTTTGTCCATCATATCACTTGGTAAACATCTGAAACGTATTAAATTTGAAAAGAAGACCATTGCTTTTTTAAATAAAATTTTATATGCTCATTATAAGAACCAAATTAAGCAAATTGTATCAGTCTTCCTAATCCACTGATCAATATAATATACATAATATGGCAACAACTTAAAAACCTTTAGAATCCTTCAAACCCAAGGATTAGGATGTATAGTTTTGTTGTGTTTGCTTTTCTCCTTTATTCTTAACCTGAAAATCAACTTTTCTAGGTTTGGTGATATAAGGATTCAAAAAATATGTTACTTAAGATCAAATAAACCTGTGATTTAAACAATTTGAAGCAATAGCTTTACATTTGAGTATTTGTAGATAATATGACAATTTTGTCAGCTATTAAATAGTTTTTTTAAATCTTTGTTGATGGAAGATGCAGATTTCAATGTTTTCTCCAGTAGAGTTAATGAGCTAGATGGAAAATATCTCATTAATTTCTTGAGCCCCCTTGTGAGGCAAGAAAATGACATTATCATCTAACAGTTGGAAAAACTGAAGAACTAGTGGATATAACTGTGCTCAATTGCAAAGGAAAACAAATAGCTCTAGTAAATCCTGAGATGTGGATAAGAAAGAATATTGCATACACACACACCCCCTCCTTCATTTTTAAGAAATCAATATCTGCTTCTTAAAGCATAAGGCTGGTTAAACCCTTGGATCTTGGCCGTACACCTTTTGGCAGAGTAAATTATTGCCTCATGGCCTGGCTGGGCAGTCACCCTTTTAATTTACTTTTAAATAGGTTTTCCCTAATCCATACAACCTAATATCTGGCCAATCTTGAATCTTAAGCAAACTTATTTAAGTCTCTTATTCTATAGATTTTTTTTTAACTGTAAAAAGGTAGGAAATAATAACTCTTTGCAAAATACATTGAAACACTTATTTGGGAAGCAAAGAAGGACCAGGTGAATAAAAACAAATTTGAAATTTTACTTAGAAGTTGTAAACTACCATTATAGTTTGAATTCTTCTGAATTCATTTGTTTTGCAAAAAGTGGAATGCTTTACTTGAATGGAAATGCTCTCAAGTTACTTCCAGCATTGCTGTAGGATTGATTTTTCTGGGTTAAGGGAATGCCAAAGTTAAGTGCTTTGTGTATATTCTTTTTCAAAAAACAAATTATGATCCATTTTTTAATGGACTTAAGACATCAAAAAAAAATCAGGGAAATTTAACATCATTTCAGTATTACCAACATAGGGGCTTTGTGTAACGACTGTGACATCAAGCTTTAAACAGAGAACGCTTTACCTCAGCGTGTCCAATAGAAATACAATATGTAAATTAACCCATATTATCTGTACGCTGATTGGCTTGAGTTCCCCCGAATGTCACAATCTCACCACCCAGCAATGAGGTATTTTACTGCTGTCTCGAGATCAAATTATTACTGTAGAGAAGATTTTTATTTTTTCTGTTTCATTAACAGATTATTATAAAGCAATAAGCATGCAGGAAGAGAAGCAGACGTTTTACACTGGGAATTAATGAAAGCATGTCTGTTCGTTTTGGATTGGTTAGGGGGTTGTCGCTTAAAATCTTATACCAGCCCTCCAACAAAACTCTTCGGAAATGGTAAAATAAGAAAATGCATGATTCTAGAGGCAACCCTAAGCTCCCATGTGTCAGGTTATGTGGTGTCTGTGATATCATCGGACCCTTTGGACTGGTGTAAGTTTTATGTTTTTGCTATTTTCCTAGTATTATTCCTCTGTAATAACAAAGGGGGAAAAAGGGAACTCACTCACACAACTGCTTTGATATCACCCTTCTATTGGTCAGATGAACTTGCAAGAAGGAAAAGAAAGGCTGTTGCGCGGTGGGGTGGAATGCCAGGAATAGCCATTTAAAAAATTTGCAAGGCTGATTCTTTAGTCATATCCGTTAAGGTAGACTGATTGTAAATCATTTTGTAGTTGTCCTCTGAACTTAGCTTCTTCCTACGTATACGCATATTTGCGTGCCTTGGAGAACAGAAGATGACTAACAAAGGCAGGGCTGCCCTAACCTCCTTTCTTTCTTCCCCATTGACAAGATTTTGGACTGTGCTTCTACTTATTTATTTATTTATTTACTTTCTGTCCTTATTCTTAAAAAAAAAAAAAAATCTTTTATGTCTTTCTTTTTCCAGTTAACCTGCAAATTCAAAGGTCAGCTGGAGAAATCATTTAAGAGGAAATCTACAAGAAGCTTCCAAAGCTTTGGAGCACCCTGAAAGAAAGAGGAGAAAAATGTTTGGGGAAGGCAAGGGTTCCAGGAACCTGGGGAGGGGGCAGGCGTCCTGGACACGGTGGTTTCCTCGTGCGCTGCCGTAGAGGAGAGGATGGGCCTGAGATCCTAAACAAGCCTTTCCAAGCCCCCACTTCCAATGCGGGGAGGGAAAAGTTCAGAAGCAGCCACCAGGGGACAAAAGCTGCATTTGGGCAGTTGCGCTGGACAGGGCATTCGATAAACCCAGCCAGCTCTGGAGACGGGTAGGGGCTCCTGTGGGTTCCACAGAGGCTGAAGCACCTCTGCTGCCACCTTCGCTGCCGCCCTCGCCGCCGCCGCCGCCGCCGCCGCCGCCGCCGCCGCGGCCCCTGCGTTACTGGGGGAGACGGTGCCGCTGCGACAGGGGAGGACGCGGCTGGAGCTCAAGGAGGCTCCAGCGCGCAGGCGCCGCCGAGCCCTGCCTGGATGCTCAGTCAAGGCACTAAGGCAAAAAAAAAAATCAGCAATTTATAGAAAGAAGAAGCTATAGTCTGTCGGGATATCCAACACCAACAGGTAGGAGGATATACTCTCGGTTAAGTTTGGGGGCGGGGGGGATGCACTGTGTTGATGAAACTGCAGGTTCACCGGGAAAGAGCCCTCCCTGAGGGGTTTTTCTTTCTTTCTTTCTTTCTTCTTCTTCTTTCTTTTTTTTTTTTTTTGACAATAAACTGCATAATGGAAGTACAGTCAGACAATGCATCTTCAGTAGGGCTTATTGAGAGCTCCATTTCTGGAAAGCCTTTCAAGACTGAGGAATATCAGACTGCGAACCACCGGGAACGGTTCCCTTGCAGCACAGAAGCAATCTCTCTCCCCATCTTCGCGTATGTAATGCATGTCTCTCTCCCTCTCCCCCTCCGCCCCCCTCCCCCATTATAAATCCAGGGGTGGCGGATTTCAGGTTTCGTAATGTTGCATGATGCGATCGGTATTTACCCGGGGATGTACCGGTGGGGAAATTAAAATCATCGAACGCAGTTTTGCCTGGGCTTCCATCAGCATATTCCGGGCGAGTGAGAAGTGGCAAAGGAAACACGCTTCGTGGGAATAACAGAGGAAGCCGATGTCGCTGGTGTGGCTCCCAGGCACCTAGGAGACAATGTGCATTTTGCTTTAAAATGAAGCCACTTGTGATTTGCAACAAAGATGATCAGTGTAAATGGGAAAGGCTTAATTGCCCAGGAAATACAGGTTCATGTTATATTCATTTGAATCCAGGCGGCCAAGATTTACAAATGGAAGTGCATTATTCCTCTGGGTGTGTTTCCCCGGCCAATATTTACATTAACCATTTTTACTAATCATGTGGGCTTAAAAGAGAATTGATTTGTCAGAAATGGGGGGTGGGGTAGGATGCAAAGACAAAAGATTAAATCACATCGAATCTTGGGACAAGTTTCTATTAATTTCGAAGTCGAATGTTGAAATTTTGCTTTAAGATGAATCAACAAATACTCTTATGCAGCATGGATAGTGGCACTTGAGTTAAAAGACATATTTTGCACGGGTTCTTTGGCTCCACATCAGCAAAGAAGCTGCCCGTGAAACAGTGACAGATACTAACAGACCTCAAATAAATGTAGACAGTCTCTCTGTCTCCTATTAGCAATCTTGTAGATTCCGTTGCAATTCTGGTGATTAATTCCTTGACTGGCACATTTTACAACTGTGGAACATCTTATTTCTTCTCTTCTAGAGCTACCAAATCAAATATATGTTCTCCAAAATAGGGACGTTTTAAAAATTCACCTAGCTTGAAAACTAAACAAGGCAATTCTCTGAAATCTCAAGCAAAAATACTTAGTAAATTAAATAATAGTATTCAAAATTAAAACTTTATTTGCTTCCCATAAATGTACAGCTTTTTGTTTGCTCTGTCTGACATCATTGCTTGTTAACTTAAGAACTGATAGCTCATTTTTTTTCCAGATATTCTGATGGCAAATCAAATGGAAGAAAAGAGGAAACATGACTGCAGATCGGATCGGTTCTCTTTGTGGATTACATGTTCAGTAAAATGTATGGATCTATCTTTTCCTTGTTCTTATATCTAGATCATGAGACTTGACTGAGGCTGTATCCTTATCCTCCATCCATCTATGGCGAACTATAGCCATGCAGCTGACAACATTTTGCAAAATCTCTCGCCTCTAACAGCCTTTCTAAAACTGACTTCCTTGGGTTTCATAATAGGAGTCAGCGTAGTGGGCAACCTCCTGATCTCCATTTTGCTAGTGAAAGATAAAACCTTGCATAGAGCACCTTACTACTTCCTGTTGGATCTTTGCTGTTCAGATATCCTCAGATCTGCAATTTGTTTTCCATTTGTATTCAACTCTGTCAAAAATGGCTCCACCTGGACTTATGGGACACTGACTTGCAAAGTGATTGCCTTTCTGGGGGTGTTGTCCTGTTTCCACACTGCTTTCATGCTCTTCTGCATCAGTGTCACCAGATACTTAGCTATCGCCCATCACCGCTTCTATACAAAGAGGCTGACCTTTTGGACGTGTCTGGCTGTGATCTGTATGGTGTGGACTCTGTCTGTGGCCATGGCATTCCCCCCAGTGTTAGACGTGGGCACTTACTCATTCATTAGGGAGGAAGATCAATGCACCTTCCAACATCGCTCCTTCAGGGCTAATGATTCCTTAGGATTTATGCTGCTCCTTGCTCTCATCCTCCTAGCCACACAGCTTGTCTACCTCAAGCTGATATTTTTTGTCCATGATCGAAGGAAAATGAAGCCAGTCCAGTTTGTAGCAGCCGTCAGCCAGAATTGGACTTTTCATGGTCCTGGAGCCAGTGGCCAGGCAGCTGCCAATTGGTTGGCAGGATTTGGAAGGGGTCCCACACCACCCACCTTGCTGGGCATCAGGCAAAACGCAAACACCACGGGCAGAAGAAGGCTATTGGTCTTAGACGAGTTCAAAATGGAGAAAAGAATCAGCAGAATGTTCTACATAATGACTTTTCTCTTTCTAACCTTGTGGGGCCCCTACCTGGTGGCCTGTTATTGGAGAGTTTTTGCAAGAGGGCCTGTAGTACCAGGGGGATTTCTAACAGCTGCTGTCTGGATGAGTTTTGCCCAAGCAGGAATCAATCCTTTTGTCTGCATTTTCTCCAACAGGGAGCTGAGGCGCTGTTTCAGCACAACCCTTCTTTACTGCAGAAAATCCAGGTTACCAAGGGAACCTTACTGTGTTATATGAGGGAGCATCTGTAAATCTTTAGCCTTGTGAAACACTAACCTTCTCTGCTGAGCAGTTGTGGCCTGTAGCCATATCTTGAGAAGAAATTCAAGAATGGGATCAGCAGTTATAAGGATTTGGGCAACATTCTGCAGTCTTTGCAATAGTTCACCTATAATCCTACTTTAAATCTCAGAGTGATCCTGCTGACTGCCGACGAAGGTTTGTAATTAAGAAAGGACTGAACCACTGCCCTAAGTTTCTTTATGTGGTCAAAAACTAGATAATGAAAGTAGCAGGTGCTAAGTATCAGTGCTAAATGCTGTGTATATCACTACATATGAAAAAAACATCAAAAAAATTAGCATTGGACATCTTAATAAATTAAGTTGACATGAGGTAAATGTGTTGATAAAAACTAATTTTAGAAGTTTGAAGACTTTAAAACATTTCATACTATTATTGTTTTGCAGAGACTAATATATTTGGGGACTTAAAGTACTGTAATCCACTAAAGACGTGCCATGAATTATTGGAATATCACACTTAAAAAACCGCCTTGTAAGTTTTGGGGAGCATTCCAAAGCAGTATATTGGTTCCAATTACAGTTTACTTTTTTTGTATTAATACATTACTATTTCTAAATACCACTTTCCTTATCTACTAGTGAAATTGCTAGCATTGAACTGTATTATGTGGTTTTTGTTGATTTGGTATAAAGTTTTTCCAATTCATTTATATTTTACAAATGCTAGATGTTGGTATGGGAGGCAACATTTATGGTACCAGTCGGTCACAATTGAGTAGTTCTAATAATACAGAATAAACACATGTTGCCTTAAGGGGTTATCTAGTATCCTTCATCTTACTTAGCATTGGAGCAAATAGTCAAGGGAAATCAAATCAGTAACTGGTCATGGTCATGCATTTGGAAGTGCATGGAAGATCATTTAATACTCTTTTTCATTTTTCCTCACATGGTTTGAAAATTAAAGTGCACATCACTAAAATAAAAAGATTTTCTTCTGAGGTGTGCTACCTATTCTAGAGTGTTCTAAGAAGCAGGCAGTTGCTGTATGTTTATATTTTAAGTCAGCTGTCAAGGGGAGACCACAGCCTTAGTATGACATCCTGCACAATTTGTGAAGCATTTATTCTACAGAAGGCACAGTCTTGTTTATACTTTCTGCACATTCAGTGTATTGGTCGTTTAAATTATTTCAGTTTTAACTTGTGAAAGCTTATAATATGATTTCTGGTATTTTAGAAATACATTAGAGTCTGTGAGTCTCATTCTTTAAGATACAGATGTGTGAACTTCAATATAAAGTTGCATTTGCCAAAATTTACCTGTGTAGCCTGTTAATTTCCTTGGAATAAGTTAAACATTTTTGGCACATAACAATTTTTTTTTAATCTGGCAGGCAAGCACAAATTAGGAAGAGTAGCTTTGTTATGGTTTTGTTTTTGATTTTTGTAGCTACTATATTCTGGAACTGGAAATGTATAGAATTATTGTGAACATAAAGCTGATAAACTGACATAATATTATCTGTAAAAGTATGATTTGGTAGCTTATCATAATCATCCCTGTGTTCTTACATGCCAGTAGAATTTAGAGATATATACCTGCTTGGTTGGTTCCAAATTTTAATATAAATATCACCCTTTAATTTGGAGCATAGTACAATGGAAATTTGAGGTTCTAAATATGTTACTTGTAAGAATGGTTTACAATAACGTGACACAACCTGAAAAAGTTATTTTTGTTTGCTTTCTGTTGTTTTCTTTGTTTTGTTTTGTTTGTGAGTTTTTGTTATTTTTTTTTTTTTTTTAGTATTTGAAAAATAAGATTAGGAATCTAATGGAACAGAATTCCTTATTGCTATAATACTTCTGTAAAGAGAATACATAAGGAAAAATAAATCAATGAAATGTTTCACTGATATATGCAACTATTCAGTTTTGCTCATAATGAGGACAGTTTGAGCCATGATTTAGTGAACATTTTGACTTTATTTTTACTTTACACCAAAGTTGATTGGATCTGAGACACAGTTTAGTGCACAATAGTGAATTGGACCTAGTTATAAACTCTCCTTGTTACTAAAATCATTATCTAACATACAATAAAGGAAATGTTATCAAAAAGATGTTCTGAGAACACTGTTTCCAACTCAAAAAAATTACAGTAGAGACCTAATTACAATGATTATACTTATGAAGAACTTTGCTTAGAGTTCACCAGCAACCAGTAGAAAATTCAGCAATAATCTTAAGACCTGAAAGAATAAGTTTCGCCAACACTATCCTCCATTGTGTAGATAAGAAAACTGAGGTATGGATTAAGAAAGGGGGCTTGAGATGTCAAGCACAAGGGCCAAGTGAAGCTGCTGGCCTCTACCTAAATATTTGGAGTAATAGAGTTCAACGTCTTTGGTAAGTGACTAGCCCCAGCAATCAATAAGAGAGGCTGAAGTGTAGTGACTACTATTTAAGCCTATTCCTGACTAACTTGGCATTTAAGGTAGGGGAGAAGCAGTGGACAAGACATATTCCCAGTAAATCAGTTCCATTTTTAAGTCAATGAGCAATAGTAGTAATCATACAAAATAAAAGTGCTTCAGTGTCTTAATGACCAAATCACATTGTCTATTTTGGCATCCATTCCAAAATATAGTATTGGATGTTACTAATCTTCAACCCATAAAAAATATATTCCCACTGGTGTGTCAACTTCCCTATGAGAAAGACTCATTATCAATGATAATGTGTCCCTCTTGGACTAATTACAGATCTGAACTGAATAGTCTTTAAATTGTTTTTCATAATGGCGGTGATGTGTTTGGATGGATGCATTTTTACTATCTCACCTGGTTCCATTTGTGCACAGTGTATTTGTGAGATGCCTTGTTGAAGCTAGACATTCAGTCTGTGACTGTGGAATCCTATACAGATATTAACTAAAGCAGGAGGTGAGTAACTTGCCCAGTTCCCCCTAGAAGTCTCATTTAGTAACACAAAATTAACTATAGTGATTAGATGAAAAAAATTTTTGTAGATAGGACAACCTATTGACTGAATTACCTCTATCAAATGTTAGTCGGTTGGATTTCAACTCCAGCATTTTCTATAAAAGTTAACAGATTTGTCATTGTTAACACATGGATATGGCCACTTGGATTCATGGCCTGTACTTCCATGAATGCTACTTGAATTGTTTATTCATTTATTTAATTGTTCAACAAATATATGTTGGGCACTGAGTTGGTGCTGAGAGCATGTTGGAAAACAAGGCAGAACAGTCTCACATTAAGATTTCCTAATTTTGTGGGAAAGAAACAATAACTGTAGTAGTAACAGTGCGTTATGAGTGTTATTTAAGGTAAACATTCCTAAAATGAACTTGGTATTAATGGCCATACAGTGGCTGTCCTCCATTTTGACTTCAGTGCCTTATATCTTCTCTTTGCCCAGTGTTCCTTGGGATTTTTTGTATATCATACTCCCTCAACTCAGAGGGAACTCCCCCTTCTCCCCCCTCATTCTACACCCACACTTAGATGAATCACTATGTTGTGTTTTGGAGCCAGTTCCCATGTTGTCAATTCTATCTACAAGGTAGTAGTGAAACCTAAATGCCAAAGTTCCTTTTGTGTCCTGACTGGCCACTTCCACAAGAAAGCTATTTCATTTTTTTTCAGGAGACACAGAGGTGAGTTTTTTCTGCCCAACTCATACCTTCCTGCAAGTTAGCATGAGAATGCCTGGGTAAAATGCAATCAAAGGAAGGACTTGTTTGTGCATCTTGTGATGACTCTCAGGGGTTCTCTCATGGTCCCCAAGCCAAAATGGGTGTAATTTGTAAGAAAGGGTGCATCTTATTAAAGCATGCCACCCCATCAGTGTTTTTATTCCTCCTAATTGAGGTTACACCAAAACTTCCTAATCCCCAATCAGCTAAATCGCCTCCAAAATTTACTTCTATTGAGGCTACAATGAAGCATAATTCGAATTATATCATGCATCTTCCAGCTAAGCCATGAAATAATGAGTTGTGTTGCAACTGGAATTATAGGACAGTTGCAAATTAGAATCAAAACTCTTCACTTCTTTGTCTATGTCATTAGATCAATTTATCTAGTTTCATTATTTTAGGCCATTGTTACTTAAACAAAAAAATTGCTTACATTAATTCCATATTAAAAAGAAAAGAAAGATACTAAGATAATAAATGGTGATGTTTCAAATACTGGATGAAGACATTAATCAAGGTAGAAGGTTACCAGAGTTGCTGGTTTCAAAATCGTGTGTTTGTTTTTCTATGCAAAAAATACATTGTTTTCATGTTTGTTGATATTCTCTTATAAATGTTTTGAATGGAAATTTCAGAATCTGCTAAGATAATTGTTTACTGCTGAAAGTTTTTGTTGTTATTGTCAACTGTGGGCATGTCAGTGTTCTGTGACTTTCCTAATTCCCTCGGAAACTTTTTCTATACCACATTAAAACAGTAGAATTGCTCGATTTTAAGGCACAAAATCATAATTAGTCTGTGTAGTGGTTAAAATTAAGGTATCATTTGGACATGACTAGTTTTTTTGTCATCAATTAAATAAGTTAAAGACATTGAGAACTGAAGCAATGCAGAGACCTTTTTTATTTGTTGGTGGCTTTTTAAAATAACTGCTTTTGCCTTATGCTACAATTTAACAGACTCTAAAAAGTATATTAAAACCAAAAGACTTTAATTTTATAAAAATATTATATAAGTATGTCCTTTTTTTAAACGGGGAAGGAGCTTCTACATCATCTCCTTTTGCCAAAGGAATGATGTCCATTAGCTGCTCAAACCCTTTGGGGTAAAAGGCTTTTAAAGCAGTTTTTCTCTCACTATATCAGACAGTTAATACAAGGCCTGGTGCCTTGAAAGGCCCCCAGAGGAAAGGAAGGAGAATGTGTTTCCCTCTGAGTGGTTGGGAAAAAAGACCTCAAAGAAACCACAGGTGGTTTGGGTTTGGGTTTGCTCATACCTGGCATTTGCAGCCAACTCCCCAACTCCCTCTGGGACCACAGGACAACATCATGCTCGGAAAGACATAGGTTTCTAAGTTTGGCCTGGAGGCAGAAAACAGTGCATTTTTCTTCTCTTTGTGTTTGGAAAATAATAGGTTCTTGACACAAATATTAAAACTGATACCATAATGCAGGTTCTGGTTTTGAACAGACAATAAAATTATATTTAACTCATATGAGCACTCAAGATTGTAGAATAAGGAGCAAGTCATTTATTACACTACAGTTTAGTAAAAAGTGACTGTAATATTACTTTTTTAAAAAGATGAATTGCAGGCTTGAACTAGCTAAAGCTAATTAGTTGTTTCTTTTCATAGCTTTCAGGGAGAAAATATCTGAATAGATAGATGAAAGAAAAGTCTGTTTTCTCCTCCATCAAAGAAATGTTAAACTGAAAGTTCATTTCTTCAGTGAACAAAGGAATTTTTTGATCATTTTTAGTAAGCATTTTTACTTAGATATAATTCAATCCAACAATCATTTATTGTGTGCCTACTTCATGTATGATGTTGGTCAAGTTGCTTAACCATTCTACACCTCTTCAGTAAAAAGGATACTTAGATTCGAGGGTAATAGAGAGGATTCAGTGAGTGTATCCAGTGAGTCCTTAGCAGAGAGTCCAGCATCCTAAACAAATTATACTTTTTACTGTGGGTGGTTGCTTCATAGTTCATCATCTAGCAGCAGAGACATAAACAATTTAGGAGACAATGTGATAAGTGCTGTGAGAGAGATATGTGAGGTAAGTGTTATAGGAACACAGACAAGCAATTAACTCTGTGAAAGTGAGAGAAAAAAAGGTGAGATACAAAATGTGGCAATTGAACTAAGTCTTGAAGGATAATTCTAATTTCATGTGTTTGACAAAGCTCGGAAAGCCATTTCAGACAGAGAGAATAACAACGTGCAGAAAGCAAAGAGATTTCAAAGCTCATGATGTGTTCAACACAGGGATCCACTGATCAGAGAAGTTTCCATGGTGTGGCTGGATTTTAGGTACTGAATTAGGAAGACCAGCATGGAGTAGTGGTTAGAAAGCATGAAATTTGGCCGTTTATGTTCTTATTCTGTCCCTTACTAGCTCTATGGTCTTAAACGAGTTAGTTGAACTCTTTGGGTCTCAACTTTATCTGTAAATTGGGGACTAAGTAGCAGCAGCAACTACTTTTAAAGATTTTCTTTGAAGACTAAATAGGATTAAAATAATAACTACTGTGTATTAAGTGCTTACTATGTACCAAGCACTATTCTAAACACTTTGCATATTCACTCATTTGATTATCATACTAAATAGATGTTGTTATTATCTATTCTTTACAAATGAGGAAATTAAAGCACAGAGAGGCTGAGTAACTTGTACATGTAGTCAAAACATGAGAAGTTGAGTAACTTGCATATGTTGGCAAAACATAGATGTAAAGCACTTAGGACAGTAGCCAGCCCAGAGTAAACATTCAGTAAATGTTGGCTATTGTTACTGTTATTGTTGTTGCTGCTGGTGGTGGTGCTGTTGATTTGAACGAAATAGCTAGACAAGGTTAGAGACTGATGGGAGCAGAAGCGACTGAACAGAGACAGAGTTCCAGGCCTTCAGAATTTAGCTCGACTTTACTGTCCTGTCTTCTTTCCCACTGAGAATCTGAAGGAAGCAAAGAATAGTTGTAGTACTAATCCCCCTCTCTGCTTTCATATAGGATTGTATTACCACAGAAACTGGAGACTCCATCTGATTTTTCAAATAACTTTTTAAAATAGCGTTGCTCAGATTTTAAAAGTGGGTTACACAACTCACACCAGGTGGAGAGTTTTGCCTAGTTTTGACACATTCTATGTGAAGTGGAGATTTAAAATAGGTAATTATCGTAGGCTGAGTAAAATTTTTTCCTGGAGTCTGTTTAATTTCCCTTTAAAGGTCCACCTTCCAGGACCATTATTTCCAGTACGGATCCTAATTAATTACACTTATTTTCCTTCTCTGAAATTTCATCTTAGCCTTCTAGTACATTAGTATGTATGGCTATCCATAGTAAAGTGCTGATCCATAGAGCATCTGATGGTAGAATTACCCTTTAAGTACTGTTTGCTTGGTTTTTCTGCATCCACGTGGTCCCTTCACTTTTCTAACTCTTGACTCACAGTTAGTTGTTTACTCACCTGGTTCATACTTCCCTGCATTTTTGTAAGCTATTGTTCTGCTAGTTTGAACCCTGCTCTCATCCTGGTTGAGCTTCCTTCATTTTGTTTGACCTCTTACTCAATTTGCAGTTGTATCAAAGTAATTCCATCTCCTAAATAATAGCTGCTGTCATCCTCCCATGCCTGCTTGGTGGTGTCTGTGGTTTCAGCAAACGTAGTTTCTATTTAATTATCCTGTGCGGTCAGGAAAAGAGTCACTTTGAATATTAGGAAGTGGGCTGCCGATCGGCTACAGGCCATGGTCAATTAACTTGACCTTTTAGTTCCTTCAACTGTATAGTGAAGGGGCTGATCTCTAAAAATTCCTCTGGCTTGGAAAAATCTATGGTTTGCCTATCTGGGTCACTGATGTTCCCAGGACATTAATGGCACAGCTATTCCTAACCAACACAGTTTCCCACAGCTGACATTGGTCCACTGAAGGACACTTCCTATGTATAGTATTTCAGCTAACTAGATTTCTACCTAAATAGTGTAGGCCCAGCTTGTTGATATCAACACTGGTGAATATATATAACACATTAAAATAATCTTTCACTGGGCTTCTGCTTTACTCATGTGCTAACTTCATCAGGAAGATTTTAATCAGGAAGATTTGATGCTCTGCTTTCATTTCAAATTACCAAATTATGGATATTTGTACTTTGTTATTCCTTTTATTGTATATTATTCATGTTATTTCCTTTTTATGTTTTACCCTCAATTATAAACAATTCATAGACTTCTTTTAGAGGGCACTAAGCCTGTTTCAAGTTTCTGTGTAGACATAAGAATTATAAAATTTAGGAATATATTTTAGGACTGCCACAATGTGCAATTACATAGTAATCCAACTTTGAATGGATATTTGATAAGTACTACTATGTGCAAGGAGTTCTTCAGGGTGTTTAATAAATCCTTCAATCAAATCTAGTATCAGCTTAGGTTT